GGGGGTCCCGGGGGCACCGAGCCACACGAGCTGCCCTGCCCCAGGCCGGCAGCGCTGCCCCTCCGGCCTCGGAGCCCTTCAGCTTCCTCTCCCCCAGGGCAGTGTCCAAGCATCATCGCCACGAGCGTCTTGGCATCACTTAAATAATAAACTTGCAGCTAACCAGGAGCTGTCGTCACCGTCTGTCTCCTTGTTTAAAGCAGGATGTCCTTGCTGCTCCTCTTAATTTCAGTTGTCCATGTCAGGCCAGAGTGAGTCAAGATGGCAGCACCATCCAATTCTTGGGTGCTCAGGCTGTAGCCATTGAGTGACTTCTGTTAGCCATGCCCCTTCCAGGACTTGGCTGTAAACCCTTGTGCTAGTACCTTTAGCCATGAACATCCCAGCTCTTGGTCTTTCACAACCTGGGTCATCATTGTCACCTCTTGGTCTGTAAGCACACTGTCCATTCTCATCTATTCAGTATCATAGAATCATTAAGGTAGGAAAACACCTCCAAGATGATCAAGTCCAACTTTACTTGAAGAATTACTTCATCTCTTAAACCAGTGGAAGGTTCTTTGTGGCCAACAGTTTGTAGTTTTGAAGGAACCATAGGTGAATGTTTTAAGCAGTGCTAAAAATAATCTTGCCATGACTCCAGTCCTCTTTCCTGCACATGTTTGGTTGAAAGTTTTTTGCCAGGAAAACGGTATTTGTTCTTTCATGGAAGAGTCCATAGCCCACTATAAGACTGAGCTGTCCAGTTCCATTTTCCCAAGAAGCTTTGCCATTCTACAGCCTTGGGAAAGAGGAGCACAGGCTCAAGTTGTCTGTTGGTGCATGTGAGACAAGTTTAACTGCTGAATTTGTATCAGGGAACTTGAAACTTGTGATTACAGTGAAACTAATTGTTGATGAACATTGAAACTAATTGTTACCAAACAGAACATGACCTCCCAGGGTCTCACTGGGTGAGTTGTGTAGATGTCTGACTGTTTTGCTGTTAGGGAATGAAAATTATCTGTGAATTTCTTAGACCCGTGTCTTTCAAACACAGGCTCCAGGAGTTTTATGGAATTGCTCACAGAAAGTACATAAACATGCAGGTCTTTGGGGGAATCAAATATTATCTAGCTGCAAGAAGTGTGAGGGGAAATGGCTGCATGTAGGACAGTAACTTGAGAAATCTTGAATTAAGCTTCATTGCCAGTGATTGAAATGTTAGTGGACATAAGGAAACACTTTTACACTATGAGGACGGTCAAGTGTTGGAGCAGGTTGCTCAGAGGTCATGCAGTCTATCCTGGTGTCTCTGGTTTCTTCATGCTCACTGCCTTGACATGCTCCGTTTATCTGTAGAGTTACTTGGTGTCACCTGAAGAAAAAGAGAATGTTGCCTTTTTTCTTCTCAAGCCTGTCAGTTACCCACCAAGGAATAACAAATATCCGGTCAATATAATCTTTATTGGTCTCAGGAAAAACAATTTCTCTCTCTGTTGGCTAATTATTCCCTGGGTGCCAAGTCTGGAAGTCTCCATCAGTTATTGCTTCATGTGTCCCTTTAGCTTATGGAAAGCTTCTTGTCCTGTTAGCATTGACAACATTCTCTAGTCTTGCTGAAGCTGAGGACTTCAGTAAAATTTAGAAATGATCCAGGAAAGTGGTGTTGTCCTGGGCAGGTTAAGTTAGGAGAGGAAACACAACTTGTCCGTGAGGCATCATCCCAAAGCTGTTTTTGTGCCAAGATGTTCTTGAAGAGCATGGGGAGAAGTGAATCCTGAGCTGCTGCAAAGGCTGATGGAGCTTGTGAGGAGTGAGATTAGCAAACTGTAAATCCAGCACACAGAGATCTCCCAATAATTAATAAGGTCATGGAAGACCTGCATATCCCCGTGCTCTTTCCCACAGTGGCTCAGTTCCCATTATACAGGAGGTCATGGGTTTGCATTCTTCCAAGTCTTGTGCCTAAGGCATAACAAGCATTTCTTATAAAAATTATTTTCCTTTGTGTGGAGAAAATAAAGACTAATTTAATGATTTTTTCAGACAGGAGCTTAGCAGTTGGTGGTGTTTTCAGAATTGTTCTTTTCAGTATTAGAATCTCTGCAATTATTCCAGAAGCACATACACTGAAAATGGCATGTTGCAAATCTCATGGATAAGCAGTCACCATCTTTTAACTCAATCCATGAATGAGCAGCAAACTAAAGAATAAAGTTTTTGCCTGTCTAAGACTGACAGAAGTTTATCTAATTTGATTTTTAATAGGTTTTGGTAAGTTTTTATGGCTAAATTGTTTTAGAGCAGGTTAATTTGTGCCCTAAAACAAACTGTTGTATATGCTAAGAAAACATTTACTACATAAGATCAATATTAACTTGAAAAATATCTGCTAGTATGTTTTTTTATGTAGTTTATAAAAATACTTATGGCAATTCAATTTTAATTTTTGTACAGGATCATTGTTTTAAACAGTTAATTGTTTTGACTAGAATGTTTATTTATTTACAACAGTTGTCTATGACCCCTTGGACTAGACAAGACAGTTTGGGCTGTACTGAAATTTGACACTTGGGCTGATGGAAATTAATGTGATATGAACAGGTGAACACTTGTGTGTCCACATCAATAAAACAGGTGTTTGCAAAAGATTTTTAATTTTGCATGACTGTAATTAAAAATTGAAGGAGATCATCTCCTTTAGGAAGTTTTTTTGCCGAATTGCTCCAGAATGATACAAAGATGATGAAAATATTTCTCTGCCAAGGCTTGTGCACCTCTCAAAGGATGTTTTAGTGTCATAATCTTTGAATTCTCTTTCCAAAAATGAGCATAATGTATCCCAGGCATTTAGATTAAGACTTTTCACATTGTGTAAAATACAGAAAGTTAAGTCAGCTCTTTGTGCGCATTTCAAGGCCTTTTGCATCTTTAGGATTCTGAAATTTAATTCTGAAATCACTCACAATGTTCTTGAAGTGGTTATCTGAACTCTTCTCTCATTAGGGGTTGGAACTGGATGATCTTTAAGGTCCTTTCCAACCCAAACCATCCTGATTCTACAACTGATGACTCTTGTCATCAATTGTATCCCATCATTCCTTCCAGAATGCCTTTCCCTAAGTCTTATACAAAGTTTTCTCTCAGGAACTTCAAGATTTTCTGTCAATGACTGACTCAGTTCAGGTGATTTCCATCATCCATTCCATGAGTGTGGTAACAGCCTAAGAGCTCTTGGACCTCACATGTGCTTGTAACACTTGTTCTCTGGGATCCTCTAAACTATTTAAAAGGTTTCTGCAGCAGAGAATATTTAATTGAGGACATGTCAGCAGAACTGGGGGTGCTTGCAGTGTCCATCCTCATAGCCTGTGTTTTGCCTCTAGTGCCGTTCTCTTTTCCTCTGGAAGTGCTCCTCAGAAATTCCAAGCGAAATAAAAAGCTTAAGAGATCATAACTTGCTTTACCAAGCTGATCCAAAAATTAGGTCACGTGTCTATGCTTTCTGTAAATACTGATTGAAGAATTATGGTAATGTATTTAATTTTGGTTACCATATTTTCTACTGCTTTAGATAAATTTGTTTAATTTTAAAAGCATCTGGAAGTATTATAGGGGTTACCTCTACATTAGATAGTCTTAAAGTGTGCTGTGTCTAATGCCTTAGAATTTTTTAGTAAAAAGAGTGTGATGACCAATTGTTGTCATAACCAAAGTTTAATACATGGGTGGCAAACCCAGGACTTTAATTCTACATTTAGTCCTTTTCCCTTTTGATAGCTGGTCCACAGTCCCAGGGCAGGATAAACTGCTGCCAGAATTCCTTAATTTCTTTTGGAAAGAGAGGAAACCTGAATCATTAGCCTAATAAACTAATGCTTAGTTGTCTAAATTTAGGTGAGAAGAACTTGAAACAGAATTAGCACAACTATACAGAGCAATTCCCACAGGAGACATTTTGAAGTACTTCCTTTTTTATTATTATTATTTTAATAACTTATTTGTGTACTTCTGCAAATCTTGATATTTCTTAGAAGAGTTGAAAGTACATGAAAATATTTCATCTTTAAATGGTGCTGTTTGCTGAGAAAGCTTTATGAAGTACAGTTAATGCAGGCTATTAACAGGATTTTATTGTGTTTAATTCTGGAAAAGGCAAAAAGGAAGCCAGAGTTAGGAAGGTACTTTGAAGAATGAAGTAGATATTTTGTCTAAGGGCAGAAATACTGAAATAGAATTGGATGTACATCCAGGGTCTCCCATTTGCACCATCAATTGCTGTTGGCACTGAACTCTTCTTAGGAGAAGGGAAAGGACTTGCAGTACCTGATGGAGCTGAGCCCAGTCACCAGTGTGGGGCTGGGAGCACAAACAGGCTGAGCAGAAGATGGTCCTGCTGTGTTTGTCAACAAGCAAAAGGTGCTACAGTTGTAAATTTTCCCAATTTGTGCACAAAACCACCTTGTGGTTTTCTTAATTGAGGACAGATCCTAATGATGAGCAGAGAACTTCAGGTTCAAACAGTTCACTGTCTTTAAAGATTAATTTACAGTGGGTTGGGTTTATTTTTTCTTCTATTACTAATATAGTTAGTAGCAACTAATTACTAACATAGTTAATCATCTTTCTGGAAGAGACATTGAGTAGAGTTATCTTCCTGAGGTTCTACTGCTGCTGCTCCACCCTGAATTGTCACCCTTGGTACTTAGTTGTTTTCCATGGCTTTCCCTAAAAGACACAGTGATGGCTCTCTCTTAATGAGCTGTTCAGCTTCTGAGCTAAATGGAATTAAGGGGATTCCATGCTTTGCCAAACATCATCTTCTTGCTTGCTATACTTTTGAAAGCTTTGGTCAAAACCACATTTGTAATCTGGACAGTGCTGGCCTGCTTGTGGAATAAGCTAAAATATGTAACTGAACTGAAATGCTTGGTTTCAAGTAAGTAACT